AATATATATATACTACTTATATATATATATATATATATATATATATATATAAATAAAAATATAAATACAGTATGTGTACGTTATACTCCTGTTTATCTGAAACCCTATTATCTGAACACCTGCATTATCGAATTCCTTCCTTGTTCTCCATGTATCTCATTCTGCGGGACAAGGGAGGGATTTGGATAATGCGGCATTTCGGATAATAGAGCAGAAACCCCTGGCCAGGATCGTGAGGAGGATGACTAGCCTGGCTATGAGGGAGGCCCCCCTGCTGCTGAATGGCTCCTGCAGCAGTGCAGGGAGCACTCTGCAGCCCCCATCACGGGAGTGTCAGCAGGGACATGACAGCAGAGCTATAGAGGGCTTCCTGTCTTGCCAAAGGGCTGTTAACAGCCTATCACTGCAGACACAAGATGCGGTCTTGGAAGGGAGAGCAGAGTCCTGGCCGGGGGTAGGGGGACTCTGTTTTGCCCCACATCTGGTGAATGTAGGAATCTCATATCAGTGACAGTGCAGGATCCCTCTGCAGCCGTGCTGTTATGGAAGTGAGTGAGCTGGGCAGAGCAGAAAATCCAGGGTAAGACTGCGAGGAGGATGACGAGCCCCCAATTACAGGGGAGGCCACCTCGCTGCTGAATGGCTCCTGCTCTCTCGATTATCTGAACACCTGATTATCCTAATAAAATCCATGCTCTCCATGCTAGTCAGATAATGGGGAGTATGCAGTATATGTATACATGGATGATATTTTTAATGATTATAATCTAAAGTGGATTTTTGTTTACAAATCCTGACCTATGAAATTTATGAGCTCTTTTTTAAGCAAGGGCTGTCACTGTGTTTGCATGCTGCCTAATACAATGAGGCCCAACCTGATCATGGTCTCTAGCATTACCACAATATAAATGTTTAATAAAACACATTCTGGTCTCTCTGAAGACTGGCAGTTTCTTCGCCTTCCATGGCATTCATCTGATTTTTTTTTTTTTTTCTGAAGGTCGATATTCATAGCTGTGGGTTATTTTCTTATAACATAAAGAAATGGTGGTTTAAAAACTTTATTTGTTTTTTTATTTTTTATTGCTTTCTAACTTTATTTTGCTTTTGCACACACATTACACACTGTTTTACATATGGATTCAAATTGTGGTTACATAAGGCAGTAGATTCAGAGATTAATTTAGGATTGTACACACATCTTCAGTGGACATAATATATATATGTAATATTGAACATGGGAATGTCTGTAATACTTTTGGTTTGATGTTTTCTCAAAGAAGTTAAATGTCATGACTCATTTCAGTTTTTCAATATTATTATATAAACAAAAGTCAAAAACACTTCATTATATGAAAACAACAACAATGCGGAGTTGTTGACTTGAAACATTAAACAATCAGAAGCATGCAGAGTTGCAGGCTACTAGTCCAGGTCCGTTTGGCCACCGAGCCTATTGCTCAGTTTTGAATGGATGTATCCAAAGTTTGAAAAGATTTGTCCTGAACTTGCTGAACGTGCTGGACACTAATGTAATGGCACCTCTAGTGCTTTGAAGTCAGATGGATTATCAGCATTCTTCAGATTTTTTCCACCTTTGTTACAGCGGAAAATTGTCCTTGATAATGGATGAGAACATTTTATTTTTGAATTTGGAGCTTCTACTTTAATTGCAAATAAAGGGAGAAAGTTGTGATTTTTTTGCTGAGCAACCACTGCTTTGCAATTTCTTGTTCACCTGAGCATTTCTTTCCTGTGTATTTTGGATGAAGGCGGATGGGCAAGATGTGTGCAGGAGTAATTGCCTCATGCAATCTCTCTTGTACTTTTGCTTTGTGTGGTGCAAGATCTTCCTTCATCAGTAGATCCAGTAATATTTCGCATACAACAGCAATTGTTGATATGTCTCTTTGGGATGTGTCAAGTGCCAGAGCAACTGGTTTCAATTGACTGAGTTCTGTGCTTCTTGGTAAATTCCTTGATTATTAATTATACTGACCACTTTGTCTTCACGTTCTGCCTCATAATCACTCACAATCCTGAAATAATGCAGCCAGTTTTTAATGTGTTTCCAGGCATGATGTTTGACTGTTCCATCATGTGTTACCAGGGATTTGGGGTTTTAAAGATTCTTGGCCTTCTTTTAACTAGGCTATAGGCTGATGGTGATTATATATATATATTGTAAATCTACAACATTTACACCAAATGCTTTGATGAAAGTCTTGTCAAGTAGATTTAGCCATTGTGATGCACATCAGTACGTAACCCATATGTTGTCATCTTGTTCCAAATTACTTCCCATACTTTGCATCTTTTTCTGTGTCTGTCAAGTAGCTCTTAGCATCACAATCATGCAGTTCATTTGCTAATGCCTTGGCTTCTCTTGTCAATGTTTCACAGTACTTTCCAGTCTTATTGCTTCCACTATCAGCTGCTGATACAGAAACTGCAGTATTCCCTATCTTCACACAGTTAGCTATCACTGGGTCATTGTGCACATCACTCCAGCTATCTTGTAATAATGTAACTGCTTTTTCATGTATTTCATTGAGTGTTTCCACACTCAAGTCATCAGTAACTGCGTCTAACAGTTCATCTGCTACCTGCTTTCGATGGAGTGCTTTGTAGCTTGGCCTGAGACAGCTGATCATTCCTTGAAAAGTTGATTGGTCAGCAACAGAAAAGGAAATATTACAGCATGATAGAGTGCTGGGCGCTAGCAGATGAGCCACCACTCTGATCGCTTTGGCACCCATTAACGTGGGAAGCATGGGGGAGATGAAGAATTAATTGGCACACCAGCTAAAGATTGATAAAAAGAGACAAGAAGGAAATGCTAAGGGGGGAAGGGAGAGGAGAGGAACAGGGATAGCTGAGCCTGGACTGATGGAAATCTCAGAGAAGTTGGATGTCTGCTCCTCTCAGACCCTGAGGTAAGGGATTAAGATACAAAAGACACTGTAAATATCATTGCTGCATGGAACTGTAAAGGTGTTTGTTTATGTTCTCTCCACCAACTATGTAACATTGCTACCAACTGACAGAGTCTGAGCAGGTTTCTGTGTTACCAGAGCGCAGGAGCGGTGTGTTTCCTGTTATGTATTGCCAATTAAAAAAAAAAAAGATTTTCAAGTTCTTTTGTTTTGGTTTTGAAAGAGTATTGTTTCAAACATATCCATATGTGATTTAAAGAAGTGATAATTCATCCTCATTGTCTTTGGGCAACCTGGCTCTGGCTTTCTTTTGATGTACTTGGCAATGGCCATGTAGTGTTATTAGTACTTTCATCCTCAGTCTGATTCTGATACTTCCATACGTTTCAGCCAAAGTCAGTGGTTCTGGTGTCTTTATTCTTTCAACTGCATTTTGCCATAATGTTTCCTTATATTGTCTGCCTTTCTACACACTCTTCCTTTTAGTTTCTGTATCTAAGACTCTCTTTGTCATCTTCATGAACTTTCTCAAAATAGCCATGAATTGGGTCAAGTGGTTGTCCATCTTTGCTCCTGTTAGAATATTCTGACTTGAGTCCTCACTGAGTTCAGGTGAAGCGGTTGTACTCCAGCCAGATCAAGAGACAGAGTACTAGACTGGACAGTTTATCTCAAACAGAAACTGAAATTTCCGAGTCTCGGAATTCCCCTTCTTTATTTGCTCAACAAACATATAATTTTCATTGCCCGACAAAGAAGGGAAATTCTCATATTCAGAAGGTTTTTGTTTGAGGTAACAAAGACAGTAGCATACAACTTTAGATTGATGCTGTTTTTGTTTTATTTTCTTTAATTGAAAATATAGACTGTTACTGCAAAACTATTATCAAATAGCTAAGTATTTTTTAGTAATTTCCATTGGTATATTCTAAGAATAATTTTATTTTTCCTGGTTTAAATGGGTATTTACCAGCGCACTGTCTTAAACTAGCTTTTCCTGGGAAATTGCCGACCCTACATTCTCTCCCCCCTCCCCCCCCCAAATTTCACAATTGTGGATTGAGCAGAAGAGTGATTGTGTCTGTGCCCTGCCCCCCAGGCAGTTTTTTTTTTTCCCACTGTTACGTGAATGCCTAAACACTTACTACATAATGTACTTCTGTTACAGGTTGGCGATGAGCATCTAAGGAAACAGCATCGAGTACTAGCTGAACTTCATTACAGTAAAGCAGTGAAGCTTTTTCAATTCTTAAAGGATGCACCCTGTGAGCTCCTTCGTGTGCAGTTGGAAAGAGTAGCATTTGCAGAGTTTCAGATGGCAAGTAAGTTGGACTACAAATAGAGAATCTCTTGAAAGTTTATCTCCTTCACCAATGGAATATGGTGCAGTAAAAGATATTCCTTAACTACCTTTTCTTTTTAATATCCTGGGACCAATATGGCCACAACCACACTAAAATTGTTACTGTCCATTTCCCCATTTTCTTGAGAAAGTAATAATCTTCTACTGTTTTGGGACACAACCACACTCTGGGAAAGACCTATTTTAGTCCATTGCCCACTTGTGAAATTTTCAAACAAGCACCTTTGTGCTTTCTCCTGTGCTGTCCCCACCCATTTGGGAGGCACTCCCCATAAGTATTATCCACCTTTAAAATGCCTCCTTAGTAGTCTCCTATTTCCACAGTGCCTCTCCCCACACCAAAAAAAACCCCAAAACTAACCCTTGACAACAGCTAGGCTGCTGGAGTGCTGAGACTACTGCCTGTCATGCTGACCAGTCTTGTTATATTGTGTACTTGTACTTCCCTGTCTGTATCAATCTGTTGCCTCTTGTCTTATACTTTGGACTGTAAGCTCCTTTGAGCAGGGGCTGTCTGTATTGTGTGTGTGTACAGCACCTGGTACAGTGGGACCCTGGTTCATGACATGGGCTCCTAGGCACCACAGTAATACAAATTATAATAGGTTTGTAAGACACACTGAGATCCTTGCATGAAAGTAGCTGTATTAGTCCAGAGCTCATGTCTCTCTCATTTTAGGTCAAAACAGTAGTGCTGGAAAATTAAAGACTCTGTCTGGGGCTCTAGACATATTGATAAAGACCCAGTGTGCATTCCAGCTGATCAGAAAGGAGCTTTTAGCTGAATGTGAACAGGTAAGCAAAAGGACAAGTGGTCTGATTATCTATTGCTTTGCACCTTGTGTAGTCACTTATACCTTTTCATTTGGGAATAAAATACTGGTTTTTAAATTGTAATTGAACTATTCTTTAAATATTAAGCTATCACAGTTTATCTTCAGGTTTTTGTTAAATTCTCTTCGTTGTGTCTGGATTGTCCTGCCTGGCCCTTGAGTTCCCGCCGGGGAGGCTAGCCCCTGGCCCCTCCCCTGCTGTCCCCCATCCCCCACAGTCATGCTGCCATGCGAGCAGCGCTCTGGGCAGCGGGGCTGCGTGCTTCTGCAGGGCAGCGCAGCAGCGTGTCTGGCTCCGACCGAGCGGTGCGGCTGCCAGACATGCTGCTCTGAGTGGCATGGTATGGGGGTCGGGGGGTTGGATAAAGGGCAGGGGTGCAGTCAGGGGACAGGGAGCGGGGGTATTGTATGGGGCAGAAGGTTCTGGGGGGGGCAGTCAGGACAGGGAGCGGGGGGGGGAGGGGGTTGGATAGGTGTGGGAGTCCCGTGGGGGCCTGTCAGGGTATGGATAGGGGTCGGGGTAGGCAGGGGACAGGGAGAAGAGGGGGTTGGATTGGGGGTGGGGTCCCGGGAGAGCAGTTAGGGTCTGGGGGTCCCGGGAGGGGGTGGTCAGGGGACAAAGAGCAGGGAGGTTGGATGGGTCAGGGGTTCAGAGGGGGGCAGTCAAGGGACGGGAAGCGGGGGCCAGGCTGTTTGGGGAGGCACTGCCTTCCCTACCCAGCCCGCCATACAGTTTTGCAACCCCGATGTGGCCCTTGGGCCAAAAAGTTTGCCCACCACTGTTCTATAGGCACAAAGAGAAGGCACAAGTTAAACAATCTTATGTTTTGAGGCTAAACCCATTTTGGAATCCTGTCAAGTTCTGCCTTGTCAGACAGCACCAGTATAGATCTAAGCAGAACTGAAGTTCTGCATTAAAATGTTGAGGACAAAAATAGTATACCCAAACCTCGTTGTATATTATTGGCATGACATATTGTAACTCGGTCAGATGAATTCAAGTTTATAAGACAAGTTTTAATGTAATCCTAGTAACACTGGACCTAACTGTAGTTTTATTAAAGCTAATTGCCAACATTTCAAAGAGAAATGTAGTTCTGAATTCTCATAGTTCTGCAGAGATTGATTGGGACTGATGTATTTCTGCATAACGGGACATGATGAGTCTTTCCTTTCCAGTAGTAGTCATCATCTATAGTACACTTATTGATCTTCTGAAGTCTTTGAGAGTTGCATATAAACTTTTGAACGAGATTTATATTTTCCACTAAGATCCACCATGTCACTCAAGTGTTAACAGTTTTGAAGGTCATTTACAGTTGAGCCCTATCAGCGGGATCCTGATGGTTGAATAAGTAAATATTGCTGCTTATGCTGAGATACATTTGTCATTATCCAATGGCAATGATAATCTGAGCAAGATACTAAAATCCACACTTTCCCATTATTTTCATAACTAAATTTGATCGAGTACATCAAAAAAGTCACAGCCAGCCTTATGTAACTGGTGAAAATGCTGCTGTAAGTTACTACCAAAACAATGTCATAAACAGCATGGAATAATAGCCTTGACATTAACATTGTATATTTTAACAAGTGAATTAAATTGAAATTGTACTATTTGAACCTGATTTAAAAATATAATTTGCTAGTTGGGTTAGGTGAAATACCTTTCTGTTTTTTAGATAAATGAGGACGTGAAAAGTAGTGATGAGAAGACACCACCTGGTGACTCCTCTTCTAACCTTAATAAAGATGAAGTAATAAAACTCCTCAGTATATTTGAATCTCGATTGTCATTCCTCCTCCTCCAATCAATTAAATTGCTAACGTCAACAAAAAAGAAAATTGGGTAAGTTGAGACTTGTTAAGCTTTGGTAAGATGCATCCTGGATTATATGCATTGTAAATTTGATTCTATACATATTACACACATGCAAGAAAATGCAGTGTTTGTATATGTCATTTGTATTTTTTGGAAAGATAATTTGTATGTGTGCATGTGTAAATGATCAACTCTGACTTACTCTTCTGAGTATTTACTATTTTGTGATTTGTGTAACTGAGGGAATGACCTAAAAAAATTGTCTGCTCTTTGTGTGTGGGCAGATTCTTGTATCTGTTGTTTCCAAAGAACTGCCTAAGATCTCGAGAAGAGAAAATAAAAACAACCTATGAATGGCCGTAACAAAAAGAAAAATGATCAAAACTTTATATTGTCCCTGGTAGATTAGAGAGAGGGAGTGTCTGTTTCACCATGTTTCATAATGTCTATCTGTCCCTCATCCCGGAGAGGGGAGAGGGTGTGTGCGCGCGGGGAAGGTGCGTGCACATGTACAGAGATCATCTATAACTTGCACTGCAATCACCTGTTGGCAGGTAGCCTAAAATCTCTGACTTTTGGCATCATCTTTCTATAGTGATATATTGTTTGTGCCGCATGTTAGGTGGATGTGCTTTCCTTTGACATGGGTGGGTCTACCTTACGTTTCCACCTATGACAGAACATTGCTAACAGACACTGGGAGACCCATTGCAAAGTACGGAATTTTGCGGATGATGATGTAGTTTGAAGTATGACATTTACGGTATGCTGAAGTCCCCACTACAGCTAAAAAATATGAAGAGTGATGTTTTTATGTGCAAATTTGGGGCTAATGCTTAGCAAGGTTGAACTGTATATTTTCTAAAATAAGTATTGGAGTGGCAGCCAAAGGATTATCTGTTTTTGTGTAAGCATTTCCTTATGTTCTCAAACAGTATCTAACCGCTAGGATTTAAATCAAAACAAAAACATGGCCTCTTTCTTTTCTTTTTCTTTTTGAGTTGACCTTAAAGTGCTCTCTAGAACAGAGTTGTGGCTGTGTAATGATTGCCGACACCAGGATCACTCCTCTTGGATGTAATTATATTTAATCTAGCCTAGGGAGAGCCAGAAAATACATTCTATCCCATCAGCTGCAAATATGTGGTGACCTCATCAGCTGAGACTGTGTAGACACTATGGCAGCTTGTAGAGCATCAGAAATAGCATAAATAATAGCAAAAAATCACCTTTTTGGAGTCATGTTTACAAAACCTGTTCTACCAGCTTGTTCCAGTCTTGTGTACATTGACAGTTTTTTTTCTTTATTGTTGAATGCTGTATTAGCTGCACAGTTGGCATTAAGATCGAAGTACTGTATTTTCACATTAGAATACAGTCGTTGGCCAGGGTTTAAGCAGCTGTTATGTTGGATGCTGTGTGGCTAAATGCAATTTAGGGAAGTATCCATCCTCCTGTATACAAGGACCATAAAGCAGAGCGGGGAGAGATGTATATATGGAAGGACAAAAGACTAGAAAAGAGACTGACTTTTTCTATGTAGCAGCAGTAAGGTGCCTTTTAATTTTTAAAAAAGCTTCCACAGGGTGGCAGTGTAAATATACACAATGCCAAGGACCAGAGTATAACTATAATCCGTCTTTTTAAACAAATTGATGTGCAGGGTAATTGACTAACACGAGTAATTGTGTTGGTTCTGTGCTATCATACTTCATAGCCTTGAAGAGGGTGTGATGTCAGAGTAGAATATTTAGGGTTTCTTTTCCCATCTACTGTTCTAATCACTAATATTCTGTTTAAATTGATAGGCTGTATACATGGTACATACATTTCAATTTAATTATGTTCTAGTGTTTAATTTTTCAAGGTCTGCAAAATAAAAGCAGAATGCTATTGCCATACAAACTTAATTCAGCTAATGTGTGTCATTCAAAAACTGTAGAAGTGCTTTGAGGGTAAGTCAAATTCTCTTTTCTCTCTAACCCTTTTACATGAACTGGGCATACAATATTTGCACATTACATTTTCTGTCTATAGGGTGAGGGGGGAATGCCTACCCTCCCCCCATGCCTCCACACCAATGGTTAGCTTGGTCAGATTGGAAATTGAGTAATTGCTCTTGCTGATCCATGGTTATTGATGCACTCATTCAAGGGGAATGCAGAAGGGAATTTTTTACCTCATCTTTGAAACTGTGGTGCTCAAGCCACAAAAGTTACAATCTGGCTATAACCCTGCATAAAGCAAGATGTCTTTAAAAATTAAGTGCTTAAGCAGAACTGAATTTGGCTGTGTAAAATTGTGAGCAGGGGAAAAGTAATTCAAAGTGATGTTTCATCCTGGGCATTTTTATAATTTATCCTGAAAATAGCTTGCATTTCAGTGGTTTTTTTTTTTTTATTGAATACCTGTTCTCTGTGTTAAATAAACCTGACACTGCTTTGTGCCAAATGTTATGAACTAATTGCTGCTTTATTTCTTGGCAATTCTTGATGGATTTACAATTAAACCAACTAGTCACATATATTAAAAAAAAAAATTACCTTGTTTTTTCTAAAATTTTAAAAACTGGCTTTTAGAGTTTTATTTCCTAACATGGCATAAATGTACTGGAGAAGGGGAAGCCAGTTTAGGGATTCAGAGAGAAAGGTAATACAGTTGAAGCGATGAGCCAGCAAAATTATCTTAGCATCCGTGTTTTGAATGGATAAGTGGGGCAAGATGGCATTTGTCAAGGCCAGAAAGGAGAAGGCTGCTGTAGCCAAGACACAAGATGATGAGGGACTGGATAACATATTTAGCTGTGTATGGAGAGGAAAGGCAAGATCCTAAAGATATTATGTAATAGAAAGCGCTGGGTCAAAGATGATGCCCAGATTACAGGCCTGAGTGACAGGGAGAATGATGGTGGTGGCCATGGTGGCAGAGAAAGCAGAAGGGCTTGTGTAGGAAAAGATTAAGAGTTTTGGGTTGGCCCCACTGAGTTTAAACTGGTGGCTCAATGGTCATGAAGAGCTGTCAGAAAGGCAGGCTGAGATTTCTGTTTGGAGACAGGTAGCATGGAGTAATAGAGATGGCACTTGAAGTCATGTTTGTGCATATGCTGCCCAGAGACCATAAAGGAAGATGACAAGGTGAGGATCAGAGGCCCATAGGACTTTTTCTGAAAGCTGGAATAGGGATGAGGTGGATACTCTGAATGAAACACTGAAGGAGTGATTAGAGAGGTAGTGGGAGAACCAGGAGTCATGGAATCCCAGGGAGAACAAGATTTTGATGGTGTGGGTAGTCAGTTTTAATAAATTAATAATTTGCACAATGTAATTGTTTATGCTTTGATACAATGTAATAGTTCAGGATATCTATGGTTCCTTTTTCAGTGGCAGTAATGAAGAGGAGGAAGTTCTTAAGACCAACAAGCAAGTTTACTCCCTTTTATTGCGTGCAACTGCCAACAAAAGTGTGACTCTGCTAGCAAGAATAGAAGTCATTTTAAATTTGCTGGGGCAGCTGACTCAGAACAGTGAAGCCGATAAGACAGGAATTCGGTGACTTACTAAATATAAAACTGCTACAGATAGCAGAAATATCAGTGCCTTGTTAAACATGGGGTCAGTGGTTTTGTCCCATGTGGTGCTTAGTTTTATTGAAGTTGAGGTAAGCATTGCCTATTTATAACATGGTACAGCTGGGAAAGAACAGGAGTTCATCGCTATCCCATGACAGCTCAGTTATGATTTGGTTATTAATGTTTTTACATTTGTGAAGTGCTAAAATTGAAATCTAGAGGTAAAGCTCCCAATCTTTAACATTTGAGAAATACAAAGTTGATTTCTCTGAAAAGCAGTGGGCTTTGCAGTGATGCAAAATAAAATGTTTAGCATAAAAATGTAATCTGTTACAGTTGGATCAGTTTGATATTTTTTGTATAAAATGTTACTTCGTAAGCAAAGTGGTATTGGAAGACTTTTTCCAGTAATGTTAACTGAAACTGTACAAAGAAATTTCCCTTATATATGCAAACATATTTCCTTTTTAACTACAGTTAATACCATGCACAAAAATTAATGTGTGCCTTTTTAGCTTCAATACAAGATTTTTCACAGATATTAGCCTTTGCTGGAATGTCATTTTCACCACAGAGTGAAATGGATTTAGCTGTATTTTGATTTTTTGGATCAGGAATAGTATTATCCTCTTCTTCAAACTTGAAACTGTGAATAAATGATAAAGCATATTTTAAATAAATTTTATTTATTAAAACTAGAACATACAAATCTGAGTGATTATTTTTTTTATTGCTATCATTTAATGTTTCTGTCCAAGAGATCACAAACTTCCCAATCACATTGAAAACAGGTTTAAAAAACACAGGCCTCGTTTTCATATGTGCTGAGCATCCGTAGCTCCGATTAACTTCACTAGGAAATCTGAAAATCAGGCTTTAGTCTCATGTCAGTATGTTAGGACTTAAAACATGTAGCTATCTCTCCCAAAGTGTCAATGAGGAATTCAGAAGCATGAGATACGAAGTCACTGTTACTAGTGTTGCTCTATAAATTAGAAGTATTACAACTATATTTGTAGAGCAATGATCTGTCATCTGATTTGTCAGAAGTTCTTAGATGCAAGTTTTTATTTTGGTGAATAGCTATCATGTTCCTAACTCTCCTGAATCAAAATGGGATTGGAAGCCATGTGTCTGTCTCTCTTTTCTTGAAGTAAAAAGTTACACAAGTTAAACAGTACTGTATATGTGTTCATCATTAATCTGGATTCCCTGCAATCTACCTACTAGTGGTGTTAGTGTTGGACAGTGCCTTCCATTACTATTTTTAATTGTCTGCTCCATATTCACATCAAGCAAGAAGAAATTCTCTAAATGCTAGTGCAAAACCAAAGCAGTGTTTTCTGCTTAAGACTGAAACCTATTTAATTGCCTTTCTTTTGAGAACTAGCATGTAGCCATCAATGGGGAGGGGGGAGGGAGGGAGCTGAACAGTATTTATTCTGGAAGGTCCTATATTGGGGGGGGAGGGGAGCGGAGGGAGGAGGTAGGTCTCATCATGAAATCCTGATTATCATCATGTTGGAGTGCAGTTTCACTCTGAAAAGTGACTATAAAAATTATATGGCTTTTCATGTTGTATCTCACCGATTTTAATATTAAATTTGCTCATATTATGAAGACATTTTTCTTGTCAAACTTGACCTGGACTCAACAGATCAAGGTAGATCTTTTTCATTAGACATCAGGACCCATCAAATGAACAAGCCAAATGTATTACCAAGAGAACATCCTTTTACAACCTCCTGTCTTCCAATCATACCTATTGTTATGCAGCCACCCAAATGGTTCTGGAATTGTCGTGGCTCACTTTGGACCTTGCCATTTATTCAGAGGTGTATGCATATGAATAATATGCTGAATCTAGATTTCTGCTAGGATGGCCATACTTTCCTAGCAATTATATCAATTGAGGATGATTAGCAACTTCAGTGTTGTTTTTTTAATTTTCTGTTTACATCAAAAGCAAACACCTGTGAAGTAAGAAAGGGTAAGATTCTTCTGATTTGTTTTTAAAGGGCTATAGTTATAGAGCCAAAAAGTAAACAGGGAGCCTAAGACTTCTAATCTAATCCATTGAGTCTGATTCCCTATAAAAATGGTAACTTCTGTAGGTAACTTCTGTAATTTCTTAATGGCTAATCATGATACAATTCCACACTGCAGTGGAAACTAGATTGCAAAACAGAAGTTGTTCTTCTTTGACATGTTCACCAGGCATTTGTGGTTAGCAAGCTACACCTTTTTCCTCAAGCATGAAAACTCATCTGTTGTGAAGCATTGGGAAACAACTTTGGCTTGCTGTAGTCAGAATTCGGAATAATAATCCCATTGATGTACATAATCTCGTTTAACATCCCTATTCTATGGGTGTCATTGTGACTTGTTCAGTGGATATCTAATCTTTAATGATCCTATCTTAAATACTGAGTTGCTGATGAGAGAAAAAACCCCACCTAGTTATCATTTCATCTGTGTACAATCTCTAACTGCAAATAAATGTAGAGTAACGACTGGTGCTGATAGTGGAGTGCCAGGAAATGCCCCCACAACCATCCATTGATGCAGAAGTACAAAACTTTGAAACTAAAGGCCAGTTGTCGTTTGTTATTGCATTGGTCTCTAACTGCTAGAAGCCCAACCTAGTACTGTAAACTAATGCCAGTTTTAAAAAAATGCTTTAAATATTTGCAGAATTTATAAGAGCAGGGTCAGGTATTTTCTGCTATTTAGCATCTGGCTGAGATTATCACTTTGATTTTCGACTGCTTTCAAAACTGGAATTTCAGCAGGGCATCAGTGTTTAAATCTACCTCCCAATAATTGTTCAGTAGTTGTTACAAGTGGTTAAGATCTCATTTTTTAAGTCTTGATCTGCAAGGCAGCATGGTGCATTCTAACATGAGGCTGCCCCATTAATTCAGTACAACAAAAAATTATGCATAAATAGCATCACTAGGAGTTCACAGGCATGACGTTATTCATGTGTGTAAGTCTTTTTGCAGGATCAGGACCTTCACCATCACAGTACCAACTGCTGAATCATAAGCACCGGGTCCTTCACATGTTCTCTGGGGGTCTCCTATTTGGGTGTGACCCAGCCTAACACTGTTTAGCTTGCACCAGCTGATTAGAACATATGATTCATATACATGACTATGTTCAATCCATAAAGCCAGCCCACTCCCTTCCTAAAGCATATTCTAACAAAGTTTGACAAGACAATGTTTCTTTCGGGGTTTATGCCTTCACCAGTCAGTGTGTCTCACAGTTTGAGAGGTAACTGCACATATATTCCCCTTCCATTGTCCATTCCAGGAGTGCCCAGTCAGGCCTCAAGAGTCCAGCCATCATCTGTCTCGTGGCAGGAATTTGTGTCCTCCTCCTTTCTGGCCAGAGGTTTTTAAGGCTGCACGTTCCCTGCTGTACATTGTGATATCCCAGCAAGCCAGTTTGTCTAATGACCGCTCCTAAACTGTGCTTTCTCTCTGAGGACAATGACAACACTTGTACCAATAATCCATACTGCTTTCTCAGCAAGCATGTTTTTGTTTAAGGCAAAAGCATTATAGGGAAAACATTTTTAAAAGAAGTTCCTATACACTTACTAATAAACATACCAAAAATTGCCCATCAGTCTTTTGGACCTTGGTAGGCCAATGCCTTCCAACTCTTCCCACTAGGGTTGGGGGTCCCCTAGGACCAACAGTCCTGTCTGTTTGCTGAATCAAAAGGAAGACCACATGTAATTTAGTTCATCCTTTTATACCAGAAGCCCTTTCTTTGATTCCTAGTGTCTGGAACACCCAGCCTCATTGAGTATATGCAAGTCATTCCAGTGGGTGGTGCTCTAGATCGGTTTGCAATCCCAGGGGTATTCACACATACCCTGCTGACTGTTTTTAGTTCTCGGAGGAGTTGTGGTAACCCTCCACCATGAAGTAGAACACAGTCATACAGAAAACATTAATGAATTTAATACAGTGGTTCCCAGAGATAATGTGCAGGGTTGCAATATGTGTCACACTATCCATAATGATATATTTTCTTTTCTTCAAATTACCAAATGCAGTATGGCTAACCTGAACCAATCGAAAGTCATGAGTCAGGCACCCACAAAATTATGCGTTAAAAGAATAACTCTTCTGTTTTTTGTGTATTTAGGGTTCATGTTTTCAAACTGTTTTCTGAACCCATAAAGGACACAAACTTAGGATTTGACTACACTACAGGGGAAATTCGATCTAAGCTACGTAATTGGAGTTACATGAATAGCATAACTCAAATCGATGTAGCTTAGATCTGCTTACTGCGGGGTTCACACTACGTGATGTCGACATGCTGTCTCGTTAACTTCCCCTAGTCTTCTCAAACCAGTGGAGTACAGGAGAGCAATCTGCAATCGATTTAGCAGGTCTTCACTAGACTCGCTAAATCGACTACCGATGCATCAATCGTCGCTCATCAATCCCCCAGTAAGTGTAGACAAGCCCATACTTTCACATGAAAGCTGAGAGTCCTAGAAATAACATGATTCCAGGAACTCAGCCTTTAAGAAAAGTACCAAATATGATATTCATGCTAAAACAGTGAGCATTGGCAACACTGCGAAATTCTTTGTTCCTTGAAGTGGACACTCATGCCTTTTTCTATATATTTTTTTCCCCCTGTGTATCCAGACATGCACAAAGGCACCAGTATCAGGCTGCAATTCCATGTTGCTCTTTTGGCTAGAGTTGGGGCCCTTCAGAGTGTGCTGTGATTATAGTTCTCATGAAGCCAGTACCAACGGCCATAAAAGAAGTA